ATGCATATCTCTGTATTGTTTGAGTGGAAGGGCTGGTTAACTGTGTTATGTTGGTTTTGGTTTTTTTTTAAATGATCTTTGCATTCATTTTCTCTGCTCTCCCATGCCCAGAAAAACACAAGATGGAGGGGACACACAGCAACATATTTTCCCAAACTGACGTATCTCCCATAAAGTAATTAGGGAACCATTAATATCATGGGCACACAATCCTACTGAAAATCAGATGTACAATGATGTATTTTTATTTCCAGTCCAACCTCCATGCTCATGCAAGTACATGAAAATCCCAAGCAGTATTTTTTGTCTGATCATGACAGTCAGATTCTTGAAATACGGAACGATACTTCTCTTGTATTTCTCCCACCTGCTTATCTGTGTGCAGTACACAAACACGAAAGGAAACTAACTGCAGTGATGCATTTAGTGATTATAACTTTTTATGATTTACTAACTGAATTTTTACCATTGTATGCTTGTTTGTAAGACATTTTTATTATTTTTTTTTTCTTTAAATTTTTCAAGGGTAGGTACTAATTAGACTTAGCTGAGAATCTTTTCAGAAGATGTCTCAATTAAAAAAATATGTTTTGCAGACATTTCAATGAGCATTTTAATCAGTTATTTTATTTTTGTAAGGCCAGCATGATATTTTGATTTAAAAAAATTCTATATTTTAATGAGCAATTTTGCTTGTTGGCTGTAGCAAGCTATACTCACTTTGACTAGGCATTTTGAAGCCACTGGTCATTAATATTTGGATTTGCAAGTTACAAGGTATCACCATTGAGCTTTGACTGGATGACAGGACCACTTCGAGCAGGAAAAAAATAAAGTAGTTCCTAATGTGATTGATCTAGCAATTGTGCTCATGTTTGCATTCACTACAAACCATAGTCTTTGCCAGCAAAATTCCAGGAATGTATGCAGAAAATCAACAAAGATTATAAAAATAAACTCAGAAGCATTTAGATAAAGCATTTATCTAACATCTACTGTATTCTCTTTCCCTAATACTGATCACATTAGTAAGCAACTATGCTAGCAACATTAAACCATATACATTAAGTTGTTTACTCGCTGGATTAATATTGCTTGGAATACTCCTTCCTAGCAATTATAGTATTTTCATGCAGCACAGTTCCAGAATAACCAAGCACCATGCCAACCTTCATGAATTTTCCTGTCAAAATAACAAGAACCAACCAAAGAAATAACAAAAAAGTATAAAAAAATGTGAATACAGAGCAGAACTGCAGTATCCTTGAGGTGTATGCAGCGTGTATGCTTTAACATTGTCACCAGGCACGGAGTTGAGTGCATTATGCTTTCCTTGGTATACCACTTCCACATATCTAGATTATGCAGAGAGACACGTGACAAGATACCCTAATTACAGCAATTATTAGAAATGACAATTTTACTACAGCCCTTTACACTAAAGGCTTCCCAACACACTTAATTTTAAGGGTTTATCTGCTCATCTCTTTCTCACACTCCAGATACATTTCTCCATAATCTCTTTCATCACACTTGCAGATGTCAGAGCATTACTCACAGCTGAGGGTAGAAGAATAAAAAGAGGGGATGAGCTCTGAAGGAACAAAGATCCTATTTTCATGTTAATGACCCCTTTTAATGAAATAGATGATGGAAGAACACAAAACACCTGTGAGCTACAGAGCTGTCTGTACATAGAGCTTTTTCTCAGCTATGCAGTAGGCATCGGCAGATTAATGATTTTCAGAGGTTTAAATTTCTCTAGAGTGGTAGTAAGAGAGAATGTTTCACAGTGCAACCAAAAGTAAGTGAATAGAAAATTCTCTTGGAAACAGACATAAGACGTTATATGTTTCTCTGGCAGCACTTGCAGCAGTCTTTTTAAAACTAAAATTAGCAAGCCCACTGCTGATTATTCAAAAGACTTAGAGTGACTCATAGAATCCCTAGAGTTGGAAGGGACCCTTAAACGCCATTTGGTTCAACTCCCCTGCAAAGAGACTCATCTGCAGCTCCATCAGGTTCTCAGAGCCCCTTCCAGCCTGATCTCAAGTATCTCCAGAGACAGGGAATCCACCCGCTCTCTAGGCAACCTGTGCCAGCGCCTCATCACCTTTATTGTAAAAAAACTTCTTCCTTATATCCAAATGAAATGTCCCCTTATATATGTCACAACAGGCTCCGCTAAGAAGTCTATCCTCTTCTTTCTTAACTCCTCCCCCGCCCCCCCCCGCCCCAGATACTGAAAAGCTACTCTCAAGATTTCCCTGAAGCCTTCTCTTCTCCAGGCTGAACAGCCTCAAGCTCTCTCAGCCTGCCCTCACAAGGGAGGTGTTCCATCCCTTGGATCATCTTTGTGGTCTTACTCTGGACTGAGTAACCCAGAAACTAACTGGTAAACCAATGTAACAGAATAAAATGCAAATACAAATATCAGCAAGAAATTAAGAGAATGCATATTTGCGTCAACTGTTCAAATTCTTTTAGATGGAACACCCTCCAGATGTTCCTTCCTTCCAGTAAATGAAGCCTTTCTTAGATATTGGAATATAGCCTTCATTCTCCACAGAGAATATAAAGCCATCATTCTCTGAACAACACAGTTGTGTCCGGGCGGATCCCTTCAAATCTGTTTGATTTAGAAAAAGGAACAGCAGAGAGAGTCCCTGTAGGCTTATTTCCTTGGAAATTTGTGACTTTGAGACATTTTCCTTTATATTCATTTCTGCCCTTAACACTAACTGAAAGTCAGCATTACACCTTCAGTTTGATTAAACTCTGCACATAATAATAATTTCTCAACAAACAAACATGAGGCACCAAATGACACTCTACAAAAACTATTCAAGAGCTCTGGATATACATATACTGCTGTAGAATTCTGGATTTTAACTGCTCATCTGCATCGGCTTATGTCCCAATTACCTTTCATTTTCTTTGCATGGAGGGTCAGCAGTATCTACACTATGAATGCAAAGGGCTGCCCTTCTTTATGAGGCCTGGCAGCGGCCATATAATTGGAGCTGGTTTTATTTTCCAAGGCAATGATGACCCCAGTAAATAATCCAGAACAAGATTTAACACTGTCTCTATAAGCCACATTAGTTTTAATTTTGATAGTAGAATTATAGTTTAGTTTACACTGAGGTATATTACCTAAGGGACACTTTGTTCAAGGTGAAAATACAGAGTTGCAGTTTCATGTTTTGTTTATGGCTATAGGGAATTAGATGGGTGGTTGGAACATCTTTTCATCTATTCAGTTTCTTGTTTGCCTTTGAAGCTCCAGGTCTTCTCTTATTTGTAAGGTTCTAAGAGGCCTTCAAAGTCTGAGCTCCACAAAAAGGAAAAAATGATCATTTTCATCATTATTCTTATTTCAGAATCTATCTGCTCAATTTATGATAAACCATTACTGTAACTAATGATGGGAAACTTCAAAAGGTTTGGAGTGAAGAGCAGGACACAGAGATCCAGGAACAAGGACAATCAATCCCCTTCTCTCCTTTTTTGACCTTCTTCAGCCAGTACAATTTTGTTGGCTTTCTCAACAACTGGATCACCCAGTTTCTCAGATTTTCTACTTTTATTAGCCCAGAAATACCGAAACATGTAGATGAGCTGTGTTTGTATCTGACACTTAGAAACCCTGTTAGCAGCCCCATAAAATAAAATGGGGGCGCATAAATACGTGTATACAAACACAGAAAAGCAAGCCTAAATTTAAAGTGGATTTGAGCTTGCAAAAGCCTCAGGTAATACAGATTCTGATTAGAAATTAAAAATCAGGAGCAGCAAAAGAAATTTTTAGTCTATATCCCTTGCAAACCAAATATTAATTCAGCTTTGAAGTAAATTTGACCTAGAGCTCTTACTTCTTCCAGAAATTAAAAGAAAATATTTGACCAAACCACTCCTAAGTCTTAGTACGTTCAAAACCTAAGGAACAGGCACAAACTTATAGTTTAGTAGTCACCTATTGGGATTTCACTTTAATCATCTGATTCATCACATTCTGATTTCAAAATGACTGCTTTTTCCAAAGGTTTTATTTTAAAGTCCAGATTCGTGGGACAAGAGCCAACATCTGCTCACAGGTGAACTCCCACCTCCAGACAGAGCTGGCAAGAACACCTGAAGATTGATGTCATTGTAAGCAAAAAGAGGAATAAGCCTAAATACAAACAATTAAACTTCAATTTTGGTTTAGTTAAGACAACCATATTTACAAGAAAATAGAGCAGTGCCTCCTTAATTCCTCAGTTTTCACCCACATGTGCAGTGAAGATTTGAGCTTGTGACAAAGAGCTTTGAAATTTCTTTCAAGTAACCTTGGCACCAAACTCCAAAATGTTTCACCACTGCTGTAGCTGATTGACATTCAAAGATTCAGTAACAGGACTTATGCAATACAGCTCTCCACAAAGCTTGAACTCAGACTGGAAATCTTGGCACAGCAGCCTACACGCAGTATTATAAAGTGATTTAAGCTCACAGTGAAGAATTGTGTGTGCCTACTTCAGTGGTCATTAACTTGCTCATTTTCAGGGATTGAACTAGGTCTAACAGCAGTTAACAGCATAACATTAGTCACCGGAGCAGGTGATGTTCACCAGCAGCATGGCAGAAAAGCTACTGTCTTCAGAGGCTTCAAGACTTCACTCTGAGTGCAAGCAAGCTTATGATGAATTTAGTTAAGTTTCAACCCAAAATGTACACAGGAAATTGCAGAACTCTCCCCTCCACAATCAATGCTCTCTTCAGACTCGGAATATTTCAGTTGTGCATCATTCTTAGATCAAAGACCCTACTTTCAAGTTCTATTTAAACACAGAACAGCAGGAATAATGCCCCTTTAATGCCAGTTCAAAGTTTATCCCAACAACAAGAGATTGATAGTGATGCAGACTGCATTCAGCCACACTGCCTTCAAGCTTTCATTTCAAGATCTCTATACCTATGTGGAAATTCTACCTGGGAAAAGAGGTTTTTGCTCTTACCAGTAGAACCTGTTTGGTGCAACTCCTTCATGAAGAAGCAGCCATCTTCTGCCAAACTCCACTGAACTGAATAACTGGGGACAAGAAAAAACAAACAACAAAAACAGTCAAGAATCACCATAAAACTCAATAGCAGTAGAGAAATCAATCTGAAAGTCTGAAGAAGTCTTCTGAGACAGGAAGCCCAGGTTTTATTTCCCCCAGTCTTAAAAGGATATGTCTGGGACAGTTGAAAAGCATCTGCAGTGATTTTTAGGGTGGAAAAAATACTGAGTGGGGCAACATGGCACACAACTGCTTTTACCTTAATGATCAAACACACTGAAAACTCATTATCTAGTTCACTGTGGCACTCTCAGGCAACAAAATAATGCAGTGTGAGAAGGCTGCCTGTTATGTTAAGCTTGTGATAGACACCTGATGTGGAACATAACACAGAACTTTGATATCCTAACAGCTCTCACAACGGATACACAGACTTGCCTTCCTTGATATTGCATCAGAAGGTCAATCTCTTACTAGTTACCAGTCACCATCTTCAGAAAAGTTTTTTAATGTAGAACACAAGAACTGCCCCAATATGTCCAGATTTTGTGTATGCAGTACTGGTTGAGTTGAAATAACACAAACAACTTGTACCTGGAAGCCTGCAATTCTCACTTTGCTCCTACAAGCAATGTGACACAGCCTTCTAGCCTGATTACACAAAGAATAACCAAATACATCAATCACATCAGAAGATCTTTCAACAATAAATACCAAGTAAGACTGAGAAAGGTCAGAAAAAAAAGACACATACAGGTATTATAAATAATTGGTATGTCTTTGTGGAATAATATACAAATGTGACTTTTATAGAGCACTTACAAGCAGCTGCTTTCCATAAATGCTGCAATCAGATAATTCTCAGAAGAATAGCAGAGGATCATTTGGGTTCTGTTTTTCTTTGCTTTATTTTACTTCACTTTTTTTCACATAGAAACACAGAGAGGCAATCAGCCCTATATTTTTTCTTGCAAACTCATTCCATTTCCCCCCCTTCTCTTGTCTGACAGACATGGCCAATTTCTTCTTTGAAAGGAGTTGTTGAACCCTTTTCTTGACTTCAAAGAGACTTAGTTAAAAATGCAAGCAATCTGAATCTTGATGTGCAATTTTTGATTGATTTTTTTGGAACATGTAGTGGCACTGGATTGGGATAAGACAAGGATGGAAGCCCGAGAGAATCACTGAGGAGACAAGCTGACATTAAGGCTCTGGGTTGACCAGAAAGATGATTTGAATGTTTTTAAAAAAATACGTGACCACGATTTGAGAAAACTTGAGGTCCACTTTTTATTCTGCATTACATTGCCATCACAAATCACTACATCCCTAGGGTTCCCTTCTTTAAAACCTTGGAATAGCATAGAAAAACTAATAACATCTATAACAGCTGTTTGATAAAAAGCGTACTGTACATATACTGAAATCTAAGCATTAAAGCTGGTTATTCATCTCTTTTTTCTCATCTCATTTTCTTCTTGAAAATTTGTTGAAAATTTCTTGAAAATATTGCCAAAGAAGTGACAGGGAAGAAAGGAGAGGGAATAGAAAATAACCAGGTCAGGCAAAGGAAACACAGTTCAGCTTTTCAAATGGAATTGCACAATAACCTCTTGAAATTTCAGTGGTGAATCTTTTACTTTTCATTAACTATAAATATATTTTTGTTTGAAACGTTAATATTCACTAACCCTACCAATAAAAGAAGAAACCTCATTTATCCTCTAGAACATATAACAGTAAATTTCTAAAAGTGCTCTAAGGTCACCCGGTCAAGAGTATTGCTATTACTGGATGCATTTATTCCTCCTTCACTTCCAAAGTCCATTTCCAGACCTGCTTTCATTATTGCATAATACAAACTAGTATATGACCACTAAGTTACTGTTACCTGTTTTACCAGTACTTTCCCTCTTATGGCAAAGTGGTTTCTTCAGTGCCAATAACTCTTCAATAGAATAATTTAAGCTTCAATAAAGTTGATATTGTCTCACAGTAAAACTTTAATTAAGAACAAAGATCAATACGAAAAACTCAGTAAACACTTCTGTACTTCCAGACCCATATGTGGGATGCAAGATTTCCAGGGTCACTGATGCTCTCAGAGAGCTGGAACCATCACAGTAAGTGTTGTTTTTCCCCCATTATATCACTACTCTCTCTCTAGTTTCCCTGAGGACAACTTCCAGAAAGTTACAACCTTTTAGAATTTATCATTGATAGTAACAATACCCTAAAATAATTTACCATGGCTGGCAGAAGTTTTATTCGTTCTTGTATAGCATCCTCTTTCATGCCTACAACCTCAGTGCAGTACCAAATTGTTGAACATTCCCACCACCCCATTTCCCCCTGGCTCTTTCAGAAGTATTTGGAGGGGCTGTTCATTTGGCAAATCTATGATTTCTGTGGCAGAGAGGAGCAGTGATGCTGCACTGTTCCCAGGGAAACCTGTTATCTCTTACTGTGTGCCCTGAACAAAAGACGTGAGTCAGGAAAAAGAAGAGAAATGCAAGACTGGCGTTTGTTTCAAAGGAAGGAAATAGATACAGCAATTCTACTATGTCAGTATTTTCCTCTCATAACAGAAGTCAGTGCCCAGTGAGCTGGGAAAAGTACATGAGAAAAGGAAATAGCTCTCACAGGGAAATATCAGATCCCTGGGAATTCATGCCCAAAGCTCTTATTGTCTTTGAAGAAACAGTTTAATAACCAGACTTTAGAGGCTTTATTCCTTTGCCATTATCTCTACCAATCTTAGCCTTCACTGATTCGCAGCAGCACCAATGTACCTTCAGAAGGGGAATTCCCCATATTAGGTGCCATCCCCAACAAAAGGGAAAACATTCTTTACATTAAAGTTATTTTTTTTTCCAGAAATTTTAAGTATCGTTCAGCTTAACCTGAGTTTATTTAGTTAGACCAGGAGAAGAAAAAAAAGAAATATTTGGAGTCTAGGATTTTGTGAAATACCAAATATGATACAGCAGGGAATATTTTTCCTCATTTAGCAGTTATAGTGCTCGTATGGATTTTTTTTTTAACCCAACATCATATTTTATTGTCATTACAAAAGCTCTTTCTCTCCTGGGATGATTTCTGACAGACTCATTTGTGCAGTCCCTTCAGAGATTACATTTTATTTTCTTCGGCAATTACTGCACTTTGTTGACAATTTTCATTAGGAGACAGAAATTAGATAATGTTCTCTACTACAACTCTTATTTCAACCATAAATAAAAAACAAACCTTCTACAATTTCAGTGTATGTTTTCAGCTCAGGGCCAAGTAGTGATCTGATGTTTCTTTTCTCACTAAGACAAAACCACTATAAAGTATGAATCTTATACTGATCTCTCAGATTTGACCCTTCTTCACTGGGGAATAAAACTCTTCCTACTTCCTCTTCTCTTTTGTAGTTGTACCTCCTACACACTTTCTCTTGCAGTCAGATTTCTAAGCTCTTTAGAGTAGAAATCATCTATTGTGATATGCATTTACACAACATAAAGATTCGTGGGGCTCTCATTAGCTATAATAATACAGGAAAATTGTAAGTGAAGGTACGTATAAGGAAAAGGTTTCCCTACGATAGGTACTTCTGTAAAAGGTTTCACTATTCAAAATGGTGAAAATTAGACTGTTTTCTCATATTTTCCTATGTTATTTCTAATATACTTTTCAGTCACCAAGCAGCTTATCAACCTAGGAGTTCAGGCAATTCTGCATACATTTGCTTACCTCAAACGAATTACAAGAATAACCATCCTTATATTAAAGTGAATCAAAGCAAATCTATCAAATTGATTTTCTTAAAAATTGGGGAAATCAGCCATTCTCTAGTTGAGCACCTGGCAGTGTTTGAAACTGCAAAAGCAACACGGGCCCATTCAAACCAGAGAACATCTGTTCTAATGGAAACATTAAATCTATGTGAGAAAAAGACAGCCCCAGAGTTGGCAAAGCCAGCGTTAGGGGGTATGAATTTGATCCAGGTAATGAAACATTTTCTTTAATGTCAGACTACAGAGGAATTACTGAATTAGATTAGAATGAAGTGCAATTTCACTACCATCTCTTTTTGTAAACAGCCTTCAACAGATGCTTGGAAAACCAAAATACTTGCATATTCAAAAACTTAGTATATTCAACAGTTCTTCTAAATAAGGTCTCAAACTCCATCAATCCTTGGCTCAGGGTCTTTCTGAGTGAGAGGTTGTATTTCTTTAGTATTTCTCAATACTTCTTCTCTTTTAAGTTCTTCTATGTATTCCCTTCTATTCTTTCAGCACCCACAGAATACTACGGTAAGCAAGGAGCTCCACAACCTAACACTGCATGAAGAATCATGAATTATCCTTGCTTGCTTTGAGTCTGCTGTGGAGGTCTCAAGTACAATAAAACATCAGTCCTTCCTCCACATTTATGGAGTTAAAACAAATTACATTAACTGAGGAGTCATCTCTTTCCCAAATCTTCCAGCAGACTTGGCTTTGTACTTCCTTGTACTATTTTGCACGTCTTTTAGAAGCTACAAAACATGTAGCTAAAATAAGAGCTTTGAAGGGAAACGTTTTCTAGGCATCAAACAAATTTGATTTGTGTTGTTGTTGGTATGAGATTCTAACCTAGAGGACCCTACTTGTCTGTTTAGATCTAACAGAATTACGAAGTTGAAAACTTCTGATATTAACTCACATGTTTAGCACAAACAATAAGCTGTTAGCAGTTTCATGAAGTTCTACACCTGGATGAGCTTGGGAGATGCACTTTAACAAAACTGTATTCCAAAACACCTGTTTCCTTCATGAACACTGAATTTTCCATGAGATCTTCCCAGCCAAAAACGTGGCTCTTATGAAGTGGCTGAACTAAGTTTATTTGGCTGCTCAACCTAATGGTTAACAAAGCACATCATCAAACAGATGTCACTAGCAAATGCAAATGTGTATTAAAGAAAGAAGCCCTTATCCCCATCAATTAGCAGAGTTCTGTGTTTCCCAGAGCTACCTTTATGCTCACTGAACTC